GATGCTCCACTATTCCCAGCATGATGACTTCCTCCAGTCCTTTACATGGTATACTTGTTAAAGACACTCGTCTGTAATACAATGTCTTCTTTCTAACTCCATTTTTTTTAATGAGATTATGATTCTCCTTTTTCCCGACCTCTGGGTTGTTCTCTGTCTTATGCATTTGACTTTCACTTCTAGATAATGGGTGACAAAGCCCCTCAGCAGCCAAGGAGAGAGTTTGTCTGACTCCAATGATTTGATCACACTTGTCAAGTGGCAAGAAAGAACAAGATGTTCCGCCTTGTTCCGCTTCTACAGAGACTACAAATCCATTGGTTTTTCTGGCCTTTCACTGTAGGATAAACACCTGGGACTGATCAGGGATAATAATAATGTGTATATACAAAATTGCTACAAGCAAGAACTACAACGTAAAAAAGAAAGGTCTTAACTGTCTCAAAGTCCGGCCAAAGATTCCTCTTTTCCTGAGATAATGTAATCCGGTATTATTGAAGAAAATTGTTTGTAGAAACAACATGTACCTGTTGGTATTTAGCTACATCAGTGTACATAGTACTAAATATTATGTTAAAAAATACAGCTTTAATGATTGCTAATATTACGGGTTCGTTGTTCAGGCTGGTGAAAGGTGTGAACACTATGCACAACCTAGTCTAGCACTTGAACTGTTACGGAAAATAATTTGGATTTGATCTAATAAATATAGCACAACTAGTTATACTATTGAAGCAAGATTTGAAATTGATTTATAGATTATATGTAAGCAAATAACCATATTTGATAATGATAATTATTGATAATTTATACTGATTATTTAGTGATAAACTCATTTCAGTTTAGATAATTAGGATTAAAGTATTATTGATAATTATCAAATTAATTAACTTAGATAAGAATTATTATAGATGCTCACTTTATTCTAGGGTTCCCTTTCTCGATATAACGACAAACAGTTTATATGGAAAGATTATAGTCATAGAACCCAACCCGTTCTCGCACTTTCGTATAGTCAATATTGACTTATTAAATAAGTGCATATGTGACATACTAATTTATTGTGAATATTTTAGTTTACCTTGATAAGCTTCATAGAAAACACCGACCTTACCTAACCTTCTTAGTATGTTAAGATAAGCATCTTATTGCTTTGTAATTATAATTATTACTTAACCTATTATAGGTATAGGTTAAGTAATAATTGTAATTACGAAGGAATAAGATGCTTATCTTATCATACTAAGAAGGTTAGGTAAGGTCAGTGTTTTCTATGAAGCTTATCAAGGCAAACTAAAATATTCACAATAAATTAGTATGTCACATATGCACTTATTTAATAAGTCAATATTGACCGTAAGAAAATGCGAGAACGGGTTGTAGAACCATATAAATTGGCCAAATAAACACACTACACAAACACTTAAAGACTTAACCAAAACTGAGAACCTGTGCCTATCTGACAGTTGCTAGATTAAAGATCTCTCGTGTTGAGATAAGGCTCGATATGTTGAAGAATTAGATGACAGCGTTGCTGAGGAATTAGTTTCAGGCGGTTGAGTTTGCTTAGATTATAATTGATGTGGTGGTGGTGAGCGTGGGGAGGGGGGGGGGGGGGACATGTGCTGGTGTGGGCTGCTCTCTACACGCTTTTGAGATGAATTAGTTAGAATTTTGTTTTGATTTACAGTTGAGCACCTCCCTGAGCACCTTAGTGAGCTATAACTGAGAGTACGAGAGAGTTTGTGCGGTGTTAGATCTCTTTAAGAGTCCCGAACACTCACACGCGCCTGCTCTCCTTGTTGTAAATAATGGTGGCTTGATGTAAATAATGGTGTCTTGTTGTAAATAATGGTGTCTTGTTGTAAATAATGGTGTCTTGCTGTTAATAATGGTGTCTTGCTGTAAATAATGGTGGCTTGTTGTAAATAATGGTGGCTTGTTGTAAATAATGGTGGCTTGATGTAAATAATGGTGTCTTGATGTAAATAATGGTGTCTTGCTGTAAATAATGGTGTCTTGTTGTAAATAATGGTGGCTTGATGTAAATAATGGTGGCTTGTTGTAAATAATGGTGGCTTGATGTAAATAATGGTGTCTTGCTGTAAATAATGGTGTCTTGTTGTAAATAATGGTGGCTTGATGTAAATAATGGTGTCTTGTTGTAAATAATGGTGTCTTGTTGTAAATAATGGTGTCTTGCTGTTAATAATGGTGTCTTGCTGTAAATAATGGTGGCTTGTTGTAAATAATGGTGGCTTGTTGTAAATAATGGTGGCTTGATGTAAATAATGGTGTCTTGATGTAAATAATGGTGTCTTGCTGTAAATAATGGTGTCTTGTTGTAAATAATGGTGGCTTGATGTAAATAATGGTGGCTTGTGGTAAATAATGGTGGCTTGATGTAAATAATGGTGTCTTGCTGTAAATAATGGTGTCTTGTTGTAAATAATGGTGGCTTGATGTAAATAATGGTGTCTTGCTGTAAATAATGGTGTCTTGTTGTAAATAATGGTGTCTTGCTGTTAATAATGGTGTCTTGCTGTAAATAATGGTGTCTTGTTGTAAATAATGGTGTCTTGCTGTTAATAATGGTGTCTTGCTGTAAATAATGGTGTCTTGCTGTAAATAATGGTGTCTTGCTGTTAATAATGGTGTCTTGCTGTAAATAATGGTGTCTTGTTGCAAATAATGGTGGCTTGATGTAAATAATGGTGTCTTGCTGTAAATAATGGTGTCTTGCTGTTAATAATGGTGTCTTGCTGTAAATAATGGTGTCTTGTTGTAAATAATGGTGGCTTGATGTAAATAATGGTGTCTTGCTGTAAATAATGGTGTCTTGCTGTTAATAATGGTGTCTTGCTGTAAATAATGGTGTCTTGCTGTAAATAATGGTGTCTTGCTGTAAATAATGGTGTCTTGTTGTAAATATTGGTGTCTTGCTGTAAATAATGGTGTCTTGCTGTTAATAATGGTGTCTTGCTGTAAATAATGGTGTCTTGCTGTTAATAATGGTGTCTTGCTGTAAATAATGGTGTCTTGCTGTAAATAATGGTGTCTTGCTGTAAATAATAGTGTCTGAGTCTGTGGCCCTCCCGTGCCCCCCCCCCCCTGCTCTCTCAGTCACCGGGGCTAGCTATGAATAATGATTAACTTTTCGTTCGTCTAGATGGATGTGTTTGTAAGATCAAGATAAAGGTGATATAGTGATTATTGATAATACTAATAGTATGGATTACGTCTTTATTACGATTTTGAAATGCCGTCACAGAAAGTATTTGTTTTTGTCAATTAGCCCTGTGGTCGAATATTCTAGATCATATGACCGAGTATCTATAGGTCTATATGCGGACATGGCCAGTGTGGTGTAGTCGTGGATGTATGATTTAGGCTGTATAATGCAGCAAGTAGCTACACAATTACACCAATTAATTTATTAATATATTATGAGTGGTGGAAATTTTCCACATTCACCTCGCAACATTGGTCTTCATGCTGGTTCCATTGTAAAAATATCTTGAAATATTTTGTCGAGTTTTCGCACACACCTCATTATCATTTTCTGTGAGAATTCCCGTTTTAATGGCTATAACACGGCTTTGGTTGGTCCTCAGCTTTTGCAACACTCTCAATTTCTTATTGCCTCTGATCTTCTCTCCTAACTCGGATGTATTAATTTTTTAATTCGCATTTGTACCTCTCTATTGTCCTCTGTTTTATTTTCAATTATTTTCCAGACGATTTTTGTATTTTTTAGCTTCGATACTTTGCCTATTGAACCAGGGGGACAAATTCACTTTACTTGTCCATCTCCTCCACTCCTTGAGTGATGGGAACAGCTCCGTTACAGCGGCACATTTCCCACCAATGAACTCCATCGTGTCATGTGCTGTCTTCTCCTTCATTTCTCAGATGAGACAGAGAAGGTCTCTCATATTAGCGTAGTCTCTCCTCCTATTAAACAGGTTTAAACACCAACGCCTTTAGCGTCATCATGTGTTCAAGCAGGTCAACTCTGTGGTCTATTTCTGTCAACATTTGCTTCAGTTTTGTAAAACACCGGATCAAGAATTGGTGGGAAGTCTACTCTTCTTACTCTTGTTGGTTCTGTAGTAAGATGCTTTAAGAAGTGTTCGTCTGGTAGGTCAAGCAGTTTTGCCCTCCGGGATAGGTACTCCGCTTAGGTACTCCCTTATCCAATGGAGTACCTTCCCATTCAATCCTGCCTGCCTCTCTAGCTTTTTCACTAGCCTCTTGTGTGGTACTGTGTCAAAGGCTTTCTGGCAATCCACCCCTTGTGGCCGGTCCATGTTTTATCCTGTCAACCCTCCTGTGGTTAAATTCCTCTGGGATTAGAATTTTAGCTCTTATTCCTCTTGCTACTATAGTTGCTTTTTCCAAATTACTTGTAGACAAATCTTGTTCCCTTTGTCGTATTGTTCCTTAAGTTTTCTATTGTCTAATGGGGGATTATAGATCATCGGGGCCACTGTCTTCATACCTCCCATTGTTGGTACTCGTAGTGTGCTCTCGTCCTGGGGAGACTCACCGTCAAGTTGTACCTCGTCAAAGCTTCAATGTAACTGTGGCAAGATGGGCTACTCCGCCTCCACTGTGCACCCTCTCTCCTTATTACTTGACACCCACATCTCCTTATTACTTGACACCCACATCTCCTTATTACTTGACACCCACATCTCCTTATTACTTGACACCCACATCTCCTTATTACTTGACACCCACATCTCCTTATTACTTGACACCCACATCTCCTTATTACTTGACACCCACATCTCCTTATTACTTGACACCCACATCTCCTTATTACTTGACACCCACATCTCCTTACTACTTGACACCCACATCTCCTTATTACTTGACACCCACATCTCCTTATTACTTGACACCCTCCTTACATCTCCTTATTACTTGACACCCACATCTCCTTATTACTACTTGACACCCACATCTCCTTATTACTTGACACCCACATCTCCTTATTACTTGACACCCACATTCCTTATTACTTGACACCACATCTCCTTATTACTTGACACCCACATCTCCTTATTACTTGACACCCACATTGACACCCACATCTCCTTATTACTTGACACCCACATCTCCTTATTACTTGACACCCACATCTCCTTATTACTTGACACCCACATCTCCTTATTACTTGACACCCACATCTCCTTATTACTTGACACCCACATCTCCTTATTACTTGACACCCACATCTCCTTATTACTTGACACCCACATCTCCTTACTACTTGACACCCACATCTCCTTATTAATTGACACCCACATCTCCTTATTACTTGACACCCACATCTCCTTACTACTTGACACCACATCTCCTTATTACTTGACACCCACATCTCCTTATTACTTGACACCCACATCTCCTTATTACTTGACACCCACATCTCCTTATTACTTGACACCCACATCTCCTTATTACTTGACACCCACATCTCCTTATTACTTGACACCCACGTCTCCTTATTACTTGACACCCACGTCTCCTTATTACTTGACACCCACGTCTCCCTTAACACTTGTCAGTGTCATTCTTATTATCGTGATCACGTGTGGACGTTCTTCTGTCACTCTTTCCTGTAAAAGAATCTTTCGTTTTCCAGTATCGTCCCTGTAACTCTACCCCTTTATTAGTAATTCCATCTCCATTTGTGTACATGGCTTTTATACTAGTGTTGACAGTTGAGCTGCTTTTGATACCCCCTCCCAGGGGCATTTGTTCATGTAGGGTGGTGGGGTGGAGGGTTGGTGGGGTCGTGGGTTGGTGGGGTGATGGTGGGGTGGTGGGCTGTGTGGTGGTGGGGTGGTAGGCTGTGTGGTGGTGGGGTGGTGGGCTGTGTGGTGGTGGGGTGGTGGGCTGTGTGGTAGTGGGGTGGTGGGTTGGTGGTGTGTGTGGTGGTGGGCTGTGTGGTGGTGGGGTGGTGGGCTGTGTGGTGGGGTCGTGTGGTGGTGGGGTGGTGGGTTGGTGCTAGTGGTGGGCTGTGTGGTGGTGGGGTGGTGGTGTGTGTGCGCATGAGGTAAATGGGTACTTCACGTAATGCTCATAAAGAATGGTTCGATGCCCTGCAGCCTCCCAGCTCTCCACACACTAAACATTTATACTTTGTTAATCATCGAGCACGTTTGGAAGTGTCAATTAACGCAAATTGCAACATTAAAAGGGGAACTTACCCGTCATAGTGAAATGGATTACAAAATGCATAATTAACGTTGAAAATATTAGTGCAGGAAAATGCATCTCCTGTGTTGAGTGAACACACACATAAAGCCATACAAACAGAGCCAAATAATTCCTCACAATTCAAAATGTTTTATTATGAGTCAAAATAATCACTATTAAAAACCAGTTCATCTCAATTCCAAATAGTTCATCATGATTGAGGGTACAGGAGCACAACACAGCCAATACTCACACATGAACCAAAAACAATCATTGTCAATAAAACATTAAACAACGAGAAAGGTTCGTAATTGTTATCTTTACCAAAACAATGATAATGAAAAAAATCAATTATGTTTCAATTCATAAAATGGTAAGTTATAAACTCACTGGTTGAGAGATATACAGTTAGTGTGTGTGTGTGTGTGTGTGTGTGTGTGTGTGTGTGTGTGTGTGTGTGTGTGTGTGTGTGTGTGTGCGTGCGTGTGCGTGTGTGTGTGTGCGCGCGTGTGTGTGTGTGTGTGTGTGTGTGTGTGTGTGTGTGTGTGTGTGTGTGTGTGTGTGTGTGTGTGTGTGTTCACCTAGTTGTGCTTGCGGGGGTTGAGCTCTGCTCTTTCGGCCCGCCTCACAACTGTCACTAACTACTATTTCCTTTTGCACACACACACACACACACGCACACACACACACACACACACACACACACACACACACACACACACACACACACACACACACAGGGAACAGCCCGTAACAGCTGTTTAACTCCCAGGTACCTATTTACTGCTAGGTAACAGGGGCATCAGGGTGAAAGAAACTCTGCCCATTTGTCTCTGCTGGCGCCGGGAATCGAACCCGGGGTACATGATTACCAGTCCCGCGCGCTGTTCACTCAGCTACCAAACCCCTGTGTGTGTATGTGTGTGTGAATGTGTGTGTGTGTGTGTGTGTGTGTGTGTGTGTGTGTGTGTGTGTGTGTGTGTGTGTGTGTGTGTGTGTGTGTGTGTGTGTGTGGCATGCACACTCCCCCAGGTGGTTGACAGGTGGTACACGAACCTAAGCACGGTCCTAAAGTTGGCTAAGGCGCTTCTGGGAACATCCGGTGAATAGGTTCGAACCCTCTTCACGACGCTTGTGGATTTATTCATTTGATACACCGCGCTATTGTGATTTGTGTGTGTATTGAACTAAGGGCATAGAGGTAGAACATCTGGTTGACTGAGCCCGGGTGCCCGGGAGCTTCGGGATTCTATTGAGGGCAGAAGCACTCCAGGTTGCAATTCTTTTGACCCTGTCGTGATTCAGTTGACTACGGCGCAGCTGGGACCATCCCGGGCGTAAGTTCGAATCCTCATCACGGCCCTTGTGGATTTGTTCATCCAGCTATAGTTCTATACATCCAGCTATAGTTCTATACATCCAGCTATAGTTCTATACCTCCAGCTATAGTTCTATACATCCAGCTATAGTTCTATACCTCCAGCTATAGTTCTATACATCCTGCTATAGTTCTATACATCCAGCTATAGTTCTATTCATCCAGCTATAGTTCTATACATCCAGCTATAGTTCTATACATCTAGCTATAGTTCTATACATCCAGCTATAGTTCTATACCTCCAGCTATAGTTCTATACATCCAGCTATAGTTCTATACCTCCAGCTATAGTTCTATACATCCAGCTATAGTTCTATACCTCCAGCTATAGTTCTATACATCCAGCTATAGTTCTATACATCCAGCTATAGTTCTATACCTCCAGCTATAGTTCTATACATCCAGCTATAGTTCTATACCTCCAGCTACAGCTGTATATATATACGACTATATAGTTGTATATATACATATAAGGCTAACATAGGAAAGAGAACAAGAGTGCCTAATATTACCTCACGTGCCTGGCGGGTCCCGAGGCAGATGGGATGACAGGAATTTAATTTGTGAAGGTTCCTCTCTCTCTCCTAACTGTTCAAAAGTGTTCACTTGTTCAAAAAATGAAACAGACGCTGTTGGCAGTCAGCGCCAGGTAATTGTTTTTTATTGCTCCATTGTCAGGTGTAAAGGAGAAGCGACTCACAGCGCTCCTCCTCTGCTCTTCACATGTTATATTGAATTGTGGCAGGGAGGAGGCGGTCACTCACTGTATGTTGGCTGACTATGGCTCAGGGAGGAGGCGGTCACTCACTGTATGTTGGCTGACTATGGCTCAGGGAAGAGGCGGTCACTCACTGAATGTTGGCTGACTATGGCTCAGGGAGGAGGCGGTCACTCACTGTATGTTAGCTGACTATGGCTCAGGGAGGAGGCGGTCACTCACTGTATGTTGGCTGACTAGGCTCAGGGAGGAGCGGTCACTCACTGAATGTTGGCTGACTATGGCTCAGGGAGGAGGCGGTCACTCACTGTATGTTGGCTGACTATGGCTCAGGGAGGAGGCGGTCACTCACTGTATGTTGGCTGACTATGGCTCAGGGAGGAGGCGGTCACTCACTGTATGTTGGCTGACCTATGGCTCAGGGAGGCGGCGGTCACTCACTGTATGATGGCTGACTATGGCTCAGGGAGGAGGCGGTCACTCACTGTATGTTGGCTGACCTATGGCTCAGGGAGGAGGCGGTCACTCACTGTATGTTGGCTGACTATGGCTCAGGGAGGAGGCGGTCACTCACTGTATGTTGGCTGACTATGGCTCAGGGAGGAGGCGGTCACTCACTGTATGTTGGCTGACTATGGCTCAGGGAGGAGGCGGTCACTCACTGTATGTTGGCTGACTATGGCTCAGGGAGGAGGCGGTCACTCACTGTATGATGGCTGATTATGGCTCAGGGAGGAGGCGGTCACTCACTGTATGTTGGCTGACTATGGCTCAGGGAGGAGGCGGTCACTCACTGTATGTTGGCTGACTATGGCTCAGGGAGGAGGCGGTCACTCACTGAATGTTGGCTGACTTATTGTTCAGGGAGGAGGCAGTCACTCACTGTATGTTGGCTGACTATAGCTCAGTGAGGAGAGGGCCACTCACTGATGGCTGAATATGGCTCAGTGAGGAGAGGGCCACTCACTGATGGCTGAATATGGCTCAGTGAGGAGAGGGCCACTCACTGATGACTGAATATGGCTCAGTGAGGAGAGGGCCAAGTTTGCTATATCTTCATCCATTTATAATATGTCTGTCTGTACCTGGAGACCTGAAGTCTGTTTCGAGAGTTCTACTACTGCCCGAGCCCGGCCTGAGGCCAGGCTCGACTTGTGATAACTTGGTCCAACAGGCTGTTGCTTGGAGCGGCTCGCAGGCCCACATATCCACAACAGCCTGGTTGGTTCGCCACTTCTTGCAAAAACCTTTCCAAGTGCCTTTTAATACATCCACCGTTGTTCGGGCAATATTTCTAATGCTTGCTGGGAGGATGTTGAACAGCTATGGACCCCTAATGTTCAGACAGAGCTCTCTGATAATGCCTATGGCACGTCTACTCCTCAATGGTTCTATTCTGCATTTTTTTATATTTTGTGTGACACTGCGTGGGAATTGAGCTGTGTTGTTTACCTACCGTTCATTTCGTGAGAATAGTTTTTTTTTTTCATTTTTACATTTCGTTTTTTAACTGTTCTTATTTTTCAGTGACTGGAACCTCAGATTATTTGATGTTCCCATTTTTCTGATAGGAACATTAGATCATTTGGGAACGCATCGGACGAGAGAGTGGGGAATGGTGGGGAGGACGAGGGGATGGGGGGAGTGGTAGATGGTGGGACGAGAGTATGGGGTAGTGGAGAATGATGGGGGAGGGCAGGACAGGGGAGTGTGGGATGTTGGTGAGGACGAGGGGAGTGGGGGAATGCTGGGGGGGACGAGGGAACGGGGGAGTTGGGGATGGTACGGAAGTAGAGGGGATGGGGGAGAGGGAATGGTGGGGAGGATGAGGGAATGGGGGAGTGGGGAATGGTTGGAAGGACGAGAGGACGGTGGAGGAAGGAATGGTGGGGAGGATGGGGAGGGGGCAGGGGAGGGCTGCTTTGGCTCACACAGCAACGCGTGACCGGGTACAGCTAGTATATTAATATGGATTTATCATAAAAATATGATAAATCGTGACTATGACAGTGTACATCACGAGGACAATTATCACT